CCTTTAATTGGTTCATCTCCAATAAAAACACGCGGTTGTTCTTCTAACGTGTTAATATTGTGGCGTGATCCAATCAAAAGATATTCCGTTTTGACAAGGTTAAGAGAGAGCCTGTTCGATAGAAGCCATTCTCTGATATTATTGAGATTTCTGATTTACCGGACACTGTGATGTTAGTATCGTCGGCGAACATGCGTGCTGTAGAGTGTTGTAAACAATTCGGCAAATCATTGATATAAATTAAAAACAGAAGTGGACCCAAAATTGAACCCTGAGGAACGCCATATTTTAGATATTTTAGTGTGGAAAGTTCCCCATTTACTTGACATTTCTGAGATCGATCTGATAAGTACGATTTGAGAAGCATAAGAGGAGTGTTCTTAATACCATATAACTCTAGTTTAGCCAGTAAAATGTCGTGGTTTACCGTGTCAAATGCTTTTTTAAAATCGAGAAAAACGGCAAGATTATACAAACCACGATCCATATTAACATACCACTCATCAGTACAATCAAGCAAAGCAGTGGACGTGGAATGAAAGCGCCTGAACCCAAACTGCTGTTCAGACAATAAATTATTGGTGGTAAAATATTCGTATAACTGCTCATACAAGATGTTTTCAAATATTTTGCTGATGACCGGCAAAATTGATATTGGCCTATAATTGTCTAAAACGGAGCGTGAACCCTTCTTATGAAGCGGGATAACTCTAGCAATTTTTCATTCAGAGGGGAATATATATATATATATATATATATATATATATATATATATATATATATATATATATATATATATATATATATATATATATATATATATATATATATATATATATATATATATATATATATATATATTTTTGTAAAAGTTTGTAACTGATCTATTAAAAATCTTCAATAAAAACATACTTCAATCAAATCAAACAAATCTTCAAATCAAACAAATCTTCAATAAAAACAAGATCGCAGTTGTAAAATCATTATTAGACCGAGCGAGAGTTATTCCATCAAACCAAGTTTTACAGAAGGAGGAAACGGATAGAGTAGCAGAAGTGTTCGAGTTAAATGGATACAAGAAAGCGTTTATTGATAATGTTAGAAATACAAACAAAACACAACAAAATTCTTCTGAATTTGAGATTCGTGGCTCGACGTGCATTCCGTATGTGAAAGGTGTGTCGGAAAAAGTCAAAAGCATCTTAACTCGAGCAGGCGTTCGGACAGCATTCAAGCCGATAGTCACGTTAGAGAATGTATTTAAAAAACCAAAAGAAAGACCACAGGAAATGCGAACAAAAGCTATTGTGTACAAATTCAAATGCGAGTCGTGCTCATTCACTTATGTCGGGGAGTCTAAAAGATGTTGGTGTTCCCGATGGCTTGAACACAAACCAGGCGTAAGAAAAAAGACTTTTTCAGCTATAAAAGAACATGCTGAACAGACAGGTCATGAAGTCGCTAAAACTGACGTAAATATTTTGGAAAAAGGCATTAAAACTATGACAAAAGAAGGTTTCTTGAAGCGTTACATTCTGTACTAGACAAAAATGCAGTCAATGAACACATAGAATTTCCGGTTTCGTATTTACCATTGTTAGAATCAATTGAGTGTAACGGGATAAGGCATAAAAGGACTTGAACTAATCGAACATGGCCAAAATACTCTGAAGAAGGCTGCAGTTGGCAGCCGAAAATTTAGTATGTTTTTATTGAAGATTTTTAATAGATCAGTTACAAACTTTTACAAAAATATCATGTTATCCACTGATCGCCCTAACAGTATATATACGTTTATCAAGAACAACTATAGTGCGGATGCACTAGGTTTGGCCAGACGATCAGAACGAGTTGCTTTAACTGAAGTAAGATACAAGTCGCACTTGACTTTTTTACATCGGTGTAAAGATACCAAACGACTACCGAAGTTTCTATGTTCGAGACCACCGATTGACCACCCGAAGGCCTAGAAAATTGCGGAGAAGACGGGATGGGCGTATTTACGAGTGTTGATAAGCAATTGCCACAATCGGTTATGCCACATCCGTGACGAGTCAGTTATGCTGAATGAACAGATCGAGCAAATGTTGGACCCATCATCGCTGGATACTCTAAAGAAAGCAATTTCAGATAAGTGTACATTTGTAAAGAATTATAAACAGGATAAGCATGATAAGAAACTAGGAAGAAGCAATGACAGTAAACATGAAGGTATAAAGAAGCGCTGGGTTATTAATACATCCGAACAAAGTTTGACACAGCATGAAATTACTTTACTCAGGAAAGGCATGAATTTCGCGTTAGCTCCTAAAAATGTACCCACAAAGGAAATTATCGATTCAGTGGAGCAAGGTATAAAACATTTACCTAACGACGAAAAGAATGAAGTAAGAGAGAGGGTGTGCGCCGTAGTAAAACATGCTAAATGTCCACAAAATAAAAACCTTTCACGCTTGGAAGAGAAAGCATTAAAAAGTTTACGGGGTAATAAAGATATTTTGATTACTAAAGCCGACAAAGGAAACGCAGTTGTAGTAATGAACCGCGCTGACTATCAAAACCAAGTTAACGAAATGCTTGAGGACAAAAATATCTATACACACATTACCGATAAACGACGAAATCCTACATCGAAAACTGAATTAGAACTACAAGATCGTTTACTTAGGTTAAAGGATACAGGACACCTTACTGAAAATCAATATAAAAGTTTAAGACCCTCTGACTCATATCCCGCGGCTTTCTACGGATTACCAAAGATACACAAAATACCTCTCATTGAAAAAGTTGATCATTTCACCGTAGATACCAACGTCAAAATACCTATGAGACCAATTAATAGTTGTATTGGATCCCCTAACTATCAAGTCTCTAAACATTTGGCATCCGTGTTAAAACACCTCTACGAAGGCGATCATGCGGTTAGAAATTCAAAAGATTTTGTTGATTTTGTAATGACCCAAACAGTAGAACCCGATGAACAAATTGTGTCATTTGATGTTACTTCGCTTTTCACATCAATTCCGGTAGATTTAGCACTAAAAATCGTTAAAGAAGAACTAGAAAATACAGAGATTTGGAAAGAGCACACAAAGTTGACGATAGAACAGATTTACAGTCTTTTGGCTTTTGTCTTAAAAAATAGCTTTTTTGTGTTTAATGGAAAGCACTACCATCAGATTTCTGGTTGCGCAATGGGTTCACCAGTAAGTGCGGTTATTGCTGAGCTAGTTATGCAAAGGGTGGAAAAAATTGCTTTGAGAACATCCCCAGTGCCGATACGATGGTGGAAAAGATATGTTGATGACTCAAACGCGTGTTTAAAACAAAACGATATAATAGCTTTTCATGATCATTTAAATTCTATAAATCCTTGTATTCAGTTTACCATTGAAACACCGGCAGTAAATGGAGACATGCAAACAATCGCTTTCCTGGATACAGAGATTTGTAAAATTTCTACAGACATTTCGATTAAAGTTTTCCGTAAGAGCACACACACCGACAAATATCTAGATTTTGGCTCACATAGCCCTGTAAGAGACAAGATCGCAGTTGTAAAATCATTATTAGACCGAGCGAGAGTTATTCCATCAAACCAAGTTTTACAGAAGGAGGAAACGGATAGAGTAGCAGAAGTGTTAGAGTTAAATGGATACAAGAAAGCGTTTATTGATAATGTTAGAAATACAAACAAAAACACAACAAAATTCTTCTGAATTTGAGATTCGTGGCTCGACGTGCATTCCGTATGTGAAAGGTGTGTCGGAAAAAGTCAAAAGCATCTTAACTCGAGCAGGCGTTCGGACAGCATTCAAGCCGATAGTCACGTTAGAGAATGTATTCAAAAAACCAAAAGAAAGACCACAGGAAATGCGAACAAAAGCTATTGTGTACAAATTCAAATGCGAGTCGTGCTCATTCACTTATGTCGGGGAGTCAAAAAGATGTTGGTGTTCCCGATGGCTTGAACACAAACCAGGCGTAAGAAAAAAGACTTTTTCAGCTATAAAAGAACATGCTGAACAGACAGGTCATGAAGTCGCTAAAACTGACGTAAATATTTTGGAAAAAGGCATTAAAACTATGACAAAAGAAGGTTTCTTGAAGCGTTACATTCTGTAGTAGACAAAAATGCAGTCAATGAACACATAGAATTTCCGGTTTCGTATTTACCATTGTTAGAATCAATTGAGTGTAACGGGATAAGGCATAAAAGGACTTGAACTAATCGAACACGGCCAAAATACTCTGAAGAAGGCTGCAGTTCGCAGCCGAAAATTTACTATGTTTTTATTGAAGATTTTTAATAGATCAGTTACAAAATTTTACAAAAATATCATATATATATATATATATATATATATATATATATATATATATATATATATATATATATATATATATATATATATATATATATATATATACTATATATTAAAGATAAAGTTATCAGTTGCATGGGAATATTATAGTTAACATTGATCTTCTTACGATTGTCGTGTCATCTCTAGTATCCGTACGTTTTCATCCGTACGTTTTCATCCATCCCTAGTATTCGTACGTTTTCATCCGTACGTTTTCATCCCAGTCCGAGAGTACATTCACCAACTCAAATGGCACTGTTTGCATGATTATAAAACTTATGCCAGGTAACGTAATAATGAAGCAAATTTGACTGTTTCTAGAATAACAATGCAGGAGAGTTTGATGTTCATGGCCGTCCAGAGAAATTTGACCACCTTCCACCGCTGAGTTACCCACAGGTACAAGTATATTCAGCTTAGTTTACGTTAATACAGCTGTCCGGGTGTGAGTATATGCGCGCATGCTATTTCCGGTTGGCCCCAAATTACGAAGGATATATCAAGTCACGAAATCAATACAACGAACTATTTCAAGTGGCTGGCTCCCTAAAATTTAAAAATAGGAAAAAATCATAAATGTGATCAAATTTGAAGGACTGTTACTTGTCAGAAATAAAACTTTTATAAAGCAGCATTTGAAATAGGTCACAAAAATGACGTGACCACTGTTACTATGGCCACAATGACGATTCAACATGTCGTCATTGTTGCCATATGGTTACGCCATTTTTGTGACCAGTGTTATGTACATATGGTGCACAATGTTTGATTTCTAGTTTATGCAATTTCCACATTTTTAAAAAATACGAGCTGCGTTTTAGAGACTGGTGTATGTCTTCCCATTTCTCGAAATAAATTTGATTTAATGATTTTGAAAAGATTGCGTTGATTGCGTGCAGGTAGTTCGCACCTCAACTCCACAATTTTTGCCTGCACAAACCTCGAATCTCTACTAACTTTTGAAACCGCCATGCAGGTGCACGCGCTATTGCCACATGCAAGTAGAAAAAATATATTTTTCTCCTGGGACCACAAGGAAACGTGGGCATATGAATCTATAATACTTTTAGACTGTGGTATGTATGCGTCAAACAAAGAGAATACTAGACGGTTTGAGTTGCACGCGCAGCTGGTGCTGGGAGATTTGATTGTTAGATCTAGCACCATAGTATATCCATACTATTTCCATACTATATCCATAGACAGTGTAAAAATTGCAATTAGTATGAAAATTTCATTTCCCTACTATTTCCAGCGAAGATCCATACTATTTCCATAGAGTAAGGATTTTGAAAGAAATTTCCAGTGTAACAGTGTAACGTACTGTACGTCCAAGGGACTTAGGTTATATACGTTATATATAGTTATTTGTATCTGCATGCTTAACTATTTAGTTCCTTGTCTTTTGATTTCATTTATTTTCATTTTCTTTCATTTTCCTATTTCTTTCTGCAGTAAATATTTTCAAATATAGGCAAACCTGTTCCCATTTTCCCCTTCCGGACTTTTTTTGAAGTTAAGGATATTTAACAGTTATTCTACGAACTCGAATCGATAGCCGATTATGAGCTGATATAGCTGATGAGGCGCGTAGCGCGCCGAATCGGCTATCGCTCATATTCCACGAGAGTGAGTGGAATAAAACGAATAAAACGAGCTGAGGAATAAAAATTCACTTTCTAACCTGCAAACAATTTGTGGGAGTTTTTGCATTGTGTTTTTAGTCCTGTAAAGGCTATGAAAAGCGAACAACTTGCCGTTTTCTCGTTCGCAAAACGTCGGAAATTCAGTTTGAGCCGCCATTTTGTTTTTCCCTACTAGCAGGATATGAGTTAATTAATATCCTGCTAGTAGAGAACCAATTAAATTGCAGAATACCTCATATCCAGACCTTGTGTATATAATAAATAATATTATAATATAGCATTTGTAAATTCTGAACGCTGATTGGCTAAGAGCCGTGTTGATATAACTCGATGTCAACACGGGAAATTTTCCGCCACTTGTAAACACGGAAATTTTTCTTACCTTCGGGCTTTTGACATTGCTATATTATAAAAAAAATATAAAACATTTTTTCCGTATTGATATGTAGTTATATCAACACTCGTGGAAGTTGGGAAAACTCGAAATTGTATGAAAACACTCCGCCCTTCGGGCGTCGTGTTTCCATATAATTTCTCGTTTTCCCAATTCCACTCGTGTTGATATTAATAACTTACTGACCGAGAGTCGGAGAGTGAGGGCAGTACGGGAAAATATCCAACCGAGGTCTTGCTGTATTGACCGAGCGATAGCGAGGTCAATACAGCAAGACCGAGGTTGGATATTTTCCCGTACTGCCCGAACGGTTGAGGTCAGTAAGTTTTTTATTATATGGCATTGTACGTTTGTAAAAAATGGGTAAAAAAGGTCACGCGAGGGCAAAGTACAAAGTCCGAAACATTTACAAAAAAGAACAATTGTAAAAAATGTTCTCAAGCTTGGTTAGTAAAACTACTCTACAGCAATTTTTATATAGAATACTAACACAGTTGGATAGTATTTCAAGAAAAATACGAGGTATTTCGTCATTTAATCAAAGACAAAGACAACAAATATGAAAACAATAAAATTAATAAACAGTATGGACAAGAACGGTTTTAGTTCGCTTCATCTCATAAATATATCTCTTTTTATCGAAACCCCCAGAAATTTTCAGGGAAAAAATATAAATCTGTGGCTGCTTTAGTTGTATTTTTTATTTAGGATGGTGTCAAATTCCTCGGCTATCTGCAAATAAGATTTGCAGCTCTTCACAAAGTCAAAACACATGCAGCTATTCCTGACTTCTTTAATAGTTATAAACATTGTAAAATTTACCTTGTAATTTCGACTTTCGCTAACAAAAACATATTGAGAAAGTTCTTTATCCAAAGAAGGTGCTCCTTTCTTTAGTTTAGGTTTATTTTTCTTCGTTTTGAATAGTTTTGAAAGACTTTTAGACACTTTTTGCCGTTTGAAACTCGGCTCTTGTCGCGGGGCAAAAAAATTGCGTATTGCCCGTGGGCGTGGGCAATACGGGAAAATCCTGCCTCGTCAGCAGCCAATCAAATTGCGCGATTCATCAAAACAAATGCTTGCCGTATAATAAAACTGTATATCAACACGGAAAATGTTTTATATTTGTTAAATAGGCCTACATTGCATTCGTATAGGCCAGCTTAAGTTTACAGCAGAAACAACAGTAAGATGTTTTTAATTATCTACTTTCAGTAACATTTAATCAATATTTAATAATTAATAAATCTTTATTTTGTGTGACTATATATATAATAACAAAAAACGCTAATAAATACATGCAAAAAGTAAAATGTTAAGTAATGATGTATATAGTCTATATATATAGTTAAATTGATAATATTAATATGATATGATTATTGCTATTGATGATTCTGATATCTTGTGTATGCATGCATGCATGTATACATGCATGCATGCAGTAATTAAAATTTGCGTGATTAATTAAACTTCAACTTTATGCGAATACTTCAAAATTTTAATTATGTCGCCGTTTGAAAACTTATAATGCCTTCTTCCAATACAAAATTAGAAACGTTTTTCTGTACTTTTGTAAACGCACGAAATATATAAATGGGTTTATTGCATAATTTACTAGGTTAAATAGATCTAAACCAATATGAAGCAATTCCATTCCAATTGATTTTTTAGACGTGAAAAAGTACTCGTCCGTCTCGCCGTGAAATAAATAAAAAACAATATAGTAATAAATGGTTGGGAGAAGACCAAATATCAGAATAAGGTTCACGATAAGAATTGTCTTCAAGAAATGGCTTTGATTTTTCAAACGGACTTCAGCAGTTTGACGAGTAACTTCAGAGGTTATGTTATCTATAGTCTGGCGTTGTCGTCGTATTGATAGGAACGCAAGAAAATACATTACAATAGTTCCAAAGTAAAACGATATATAAATACATGATTGCACAATGGTTTCATAAATTTGTTCCAGGTTGGAATTTCGCAGAGCGATGGATATTCCCGAATAGCCGAAATTAATAAGCCACAGAGCAACCGTCCAATAACCACAAAAGCGACGAGTTACGTAAACTTTGTGCCATAAAGGTCGAGAAATAGCGAGGTATCTTTCCACAGCCATGCTAAACACGAATGGAAAGGTGGAGAAAAACAAACAGTCGAAAGTAGAGTAGACAATTTTTCCCAAGAGCTTTGGAAGGCCACGGACTCCACCAATGTTTGTCAATGATAAAAATAGTTCAGAAATATTGACGCAGTTATTAAGCAGATCGGAAACTGTTAAGTTTAAAACAAAAATTGTCGTTGGATTATGAAAGCATCTTAGTGGATCTCTGTATATCGCAAATAAGAGAAGGCCGTTCGCCACAATGCCACACAAAATTATTATAAAATATACAACATAATTCCAGTTTGTCAGTTCAGCATAAAAGAATACTAAACCTAGTTCATACGTTCCTGACCAATTTGACCAGGATCCATTCATCTTTTCCTTGCCTATACATATAACACTTCTTCCGACCAGCATAGGATATAATATAGCTGGCTATATGACTTTCCTTATGTTCGTGTGCATTTTATTAATGCAACACTGTGACACCGGCTCGTTCTGATTGGTTGACTAAAACATATATTTAATTTGGGACTATATATATTATACATACAGAACACCACGCTGCATGTTGTAAATTATTGTTAGCTTGATAAATCCTATTACGTTGTAATATATACCGGGTGGCGCAAAAAAAAGTATAACTGTTTGATTACATATAGCTCAAAGACCATAAGCAGTAGAACCCAAAATCGAGTTTCATTGCATCCAGCGATGTCTAACTTAAATTTTGGTATATTCGACAGGCATTTTCG